CCCAATTTCATCTTTGCTTTTAACAGTTTTATGATTAGAGCCCTTTGCATTCCCTCTTTGATGTCTTTTCTCCGGGATATTTTGCCCATGGAAATCCAGGAAGAGATCCCAATGATTTTTGTATATCTCATGAACCAAAATAAGTTTTAGGAGCGTGAGCGCCAATCATTTTTATCCGATAACTCTAAAACCTTTTCCTTTCCTTTCTTCTAATCTCCTGTTTCGCAGATCTGTTATTAGTTGTAATTCTTTCAACTCGTTAGATTGTTTCACTGTGTCGCTTATACTCTTTCCCGCTTCCGCGATTGAACCGACGGCTTTCGCTGCGGATGAAATAAGTGATTTGTTTTTTGAAACAAAGCTAGCTACTTTTGGAATTATTTTTGAACCTAGAGAAAATATTGATTAAAAGATTAATATTCGAATTTGTGTTGTTCGTGTTTTAGAATTTAACTCATCCTATTTTTAAATGAGTTAATTTAACGAAGAAATTGTGGTCTGTTTTTTTTTTCCAAAAAAGAGTTATCTTCCTTCTAGAAGAATAATAAATAAATAACATTATTTAAAACGAGGCTATAAAAAAAACCGGATGTTAAGCGAAACAAGGAAGTTATTTTATATAGGGGTATGTTTAATATGCTTTTTTCGTTTAATTTAATGAATAGGTTTTTGGGGCGGGGGTTGGTGGAATGTAGGAATTGATTGAAGATGTTTTTAGTGTAAGAATTTATGAAATGTAGGATGTTTAGGTGTTTTTTGGTGTAAGAATTTATGAAATGTAGGGTGTTTAGGTCTTTTTTGGGACCTTTCAATTTGGTCGCACTTTCCCCATGGAATGAAATGGAAAGGTCTAGTACTACTTTTATCTCATGACCTTGAACTCTTATGACGTCGAGTTTTATATGGCTGGAAGTTTAAGGCAATATTTATCTTCGGGTTTTTTCATATTTCGTTTTCGATTTTAACTTTCCGGTAACGTAATGTACGCACCGAGAGCTTTCCAACGATATATAACAAGCATGACATGACATGCAAATTCAAATTCGCATTCACTTAACATGGAGCTATTATTGTACAATCCTTGTAAATAACCTGTCGACACTTGTTAAATCTAATTTAAATCAAAAGTCCATATTCATTTTAAACCCGCCCTTTTATATTTTTTTAATATGTTTTATGTGCAGTTAGTAAATAAGCTCTGTTATAACTGTAATTTGAGCTTACAGAAGCACATTAAAGGCATACCCCCCACTTAATTTACCAACTTTCTTATTTATTATCCGATTTTCATCAAACGTAGAATGTATGGATAACTACTTGTTACCGGGTACAGTCAAGAAAATATATCTTTGACATATAATAGATTATGAAATTTAATATTCGATAATCGAAAATATTAATTCCTAGCGACAATAATCGATTAATTCGATCACTTTACCCAGCCACTACTGACAGAAACATGTAAACATGTGCATGTCAGGTCATTATTTTGTTTCGAAATCTTGTCCCATTTTTACCTCTGCATTTAATTGTAAGCCAATTAATTTTGATATTATTATTTATGGTCATGGTGGTGGTGTTAGTTTTAGCGATGATGTTGCCTATAATAAAACGTTTAATCTTATTTTACTATTCAACATAAACACAATAATTATTATCTATCTGTCTGTCTGTCTATTTTCTACACCAAAGGCCTTTCAAGAAAGATAACCGTACAAACACAGTCTTACGAAGGAACTGTTTAAGTACACTCTCAAAATACCATCATTATCATATCAACAACATAGATGGACATATCTCCAAATTTCTACAGGTAAAACTTAAAAATAAAGTTCCCCTACTTTATATTTGAAGAGTAAATTATTTGACAATAAAGTAAAAATAGATACAGTAAAAATATATCAGTCACCATTCAAGACCTTGCGACTAGTGGTAAAGTGAATAGCATTTCGCCAACATTCGTCCGCACTATGAGGCGATTGGGGTTACTTACCACCCCCATCCACAATCGTCCATGGAAGAATTTCAAAATTTTCTCTGGCGAAGTTTGATCCCCCGTCCCCCAAAAGACAGAGACCGTTGCCCAAAAGTTAAAAATAGAGAGGATGATGCAATATGTACTCACAAATCTACAGATCTATTGGCAAGGCAATCAAATGAACTTATTGACTAAACCTTTACCACTGGATTTAGGGCATCAAAAACCCTCCTACAACTGTTTTCCTTTTTCGGCATCTTATCGTTAGAAATATCATAAAAAAAATAGTTATCTCTACGCACGAATAAGTAAATCAAATCTGCAAAAATTATTTCAAATCAAATATGGAATTTCCCACATGTATTTTCACCATTGGAATAAACAACGCGAATAAATAGCTGACGTGATTTTCTTACAGTTTAGTTACGTCTGATCAGTGCTCGGACCTGTTTACATCTCTTAATCGGAATTGCAAGGCAGAACCGTAGGTAAACATTTACCTTATTATTTCAGCCGTTTCGGTGAACTGTGCGGTAAAATCGATACAGGAGAAAACAGTAGTAGCAAATCGTGTCCACACTATGTCCGAACACATACCCCGTGTATTCACTTCTTCTATTTTCTACTGTATCGTACACCACACTGGACACCGTTCCTCGTCTATGCACGGTTGAACGTGTACGACTGAGATAAAAAAAAAATTATTAATGTAATTGGGAAGGCAAATAAGACGTGTATGTGAATTTAGGTCACTGTAACTATATACTATAGTTGAAACAGTAATTCTCACGACATGTAAAATGTTGTTCATGGTGAATATACCGTGAGAACTCGTTTTTATCTTCCACATCTCATCGGTTTTGGGACACACACTGGAGGGAAGCCTTCGTGGAAACGGGGGCTATCTTACCATCTTTGTACAGAAGAAGGAAATCGACCAAAATATTGACTAGGGATCAGAGGTTGTAACTTTGTACAGAAAGCATAGACACAGGACTTACACTTATTTAAGTGTTTTGAGTTATGTAAATTTTTCAAACTGTGGAGAATATGAAATTAATAAAATGGACAAATCACATTCGGGATCTCTGGGCTTGGGAAATAGGGTTTACTCTCCAATTATTGCAGTTTATAAGTAATTGCTCTCGTATATTTGCAAGGTAACATCCACATAAAAAATTACCCGAAAGTGATTTTCTATGTTAGACGACATTTTTCAAAAAAAATTGAGGATTAATTGTTGCTGTCGGTCTGTTTTAATCATAAAATGTACTGGGGAGTATATTTGCATAGCATATACAATAATAATTGTCTAGAGACGCACTTTTTGCAACTAATATCTAGATCAGTCTATTTTGATTTGAGGTATATTAAGTAGTTATTAGAACGGATTAAACCACTTAAACCAGATTTATATTATGTTGATAACTATCTATCCTACCTAAAATTAAATTGCTCGTGGTTTGTTATTTAAACCATGGAGAAGAGCACGTAGGTTATATCATTCAATATCTGTTTAAACTCTGAGCATAATACAAACTATGATTACGTAATCATTTTAACCAGTTTTTGGCGTTCTACATGTAAACAGCAAGATAACTAAAGTTAAAACTTTCAGATAAGTAAGCAATCCAGGAGGCACATTTATTGACGGATTTTGATGAAACTTGGTGTAAGTGTCTGTTATCCCCCGAGGATGAACCCTATTGAAAAATCGAAAAAAGATTTGATATGGGTTATTGTCCTTGTTATACACTCTAGAAGGCACAATTCTTGGCGGATTTTTTGGTGAAATTGTTCATTACCACCCATGGATGAACCCTTGTTATTATTGACCTTGTTCTTGAAAATTTCAATTTTTAGCTTGTAAATACTAAAAGGCACGATTCTTGATGGATTCTGACAAAACTTGGCAATATTATTCAGTATCGCCTCTAAAAGTTTAAAAAGTGAATGACTGAAGATTGAATATTTCATTCCGATGATTGTTACTGTACTGCCAAATATTTTTTATTCAAAATCAAAGCTGCCAGTGGGCGTATATTACTTTGCTTGGTAAACTATCTTCTATCACAGAATATCTTAAAATGACGAGTCGTTTGACATTCAAACGCGGATAATTCTGGACACAGATGGATTTGAAGGCTGAAATATATGGTGAGCTTTGAACACCTTAACTGATTGGCTTAGCTAAAAAAAATCCCGTTTATGAGACTCAAGTATGATTGGTCAAAACAATCTTTTCATTATTAATACTATGTTTGATGCAGAATTGTATAATATTTTTGTAATAATTTAGAGGTTTCAAGGTTTCGAATGTTGTTTTCCAGAATCTTCAGAAGTGTGGTGATATAGTTTAGCAGAAGAAAAACATGGCATATATTTGGATTATTATCCTCTCCAGTTTAGCACTATGTGGTCCTACTTACGGCAATCATGACATTGATGTTCCAGTTCCCTGTGTTTGGTACCAGTACAAAATTGTATGTTCCTGTTACAAGATTGAAGAACTTGTCGACTGCTCATCACAGGGGTTATCCATCATCCCGAATATAAATTTTACATTTAAATCACTGAGGATGAAGAACAACTCGTTAACACATCTGAGTTTGGATCTTTTCAAATCTCTCACATATAAAGAACCCTTCAGACTGGACTTTTCCTACAACGATATCAAAACGATTGAAAATGGCTCTCTTTCGGTTTTTAAGAACCTAGCGTTTCTAGATCTCAGTTCGAATCCATTGACTAACGAGGCTCTAACAATTGGTTTAATGAATATCAACAAGTATATACAAAGTTTGAGTTTAGCTCGTCTTTCATTAGACAAGTTTGATGATCGAGTGTTTGAACCGCTAAGACATTCCAGATTACAACATTTAGATGTTCAATACAACAAATTTAATTATGTTCACACCAACCAACTTTTCGAGTTTTTACCATACTTAAGAGTCTTGAATTTTTCAAACAACTACATCAAAGAATTCAATTTTACTTATTCCAAAAAATTAAACCTGTTAAGACTTACTCGTAATGACATCACCTCTGTCCCGTCATTTTGCAATGGGAAAGAACCCATTTTTCCGAACTTGAAAAATCTATACCTGGACAAAAATTGCTTATTTCACATCACACCTGAAAATATCGATTGTTTGAAAAATCTAGAAAGTCTTAATATATCGCAGACAAATATGCATTACTTGCCCGATAACATGTTCAACTCTTTAACATCTTTGAGAACGTTGTCATTGGAATATAGTTCAAGTTTAGCTTACATACACAGGTACGCGTTTAACAGCACAAGTTTGGAACGTATTTTCATTAGAAACAACGGTCTGTATTTTTCCTATCCGAATCTAGATCCCGAGTATATATTTGCTTCAACCCCAAAGTTAACGCACTTGGATATATCCGGCAATAACCTTGAGAAATTGAGCTACACTCAATGGAAGAAGATGTTGAAGAAGATTCGTAGGCTGGTTTATCTGGACATAAGTGGAACTGAATTGGAATTTTTACCTCTGGCGGTATCCGACTATCTACACGATCTATATGATTTGAGAGCCGGTTTTAACGGAATCAAGCGCGTGAATCCCGACTTTTTCGCACCTTTGAAAAAACTCAAAATTCTTTATTTGAATGGAAACAAAATCACCCGAGTGTACGAAAACGATTTGCCTGAAAATTTGGAAGTTTTAAACTTGAGTTATAATCCATTTATTTGTGACTGCAAACTATTGTGGTTTTTAAACTTTCTGAAAATGAATAAAAACATTGTGAAGTATTATCCGAAATTGTATAACTGTTCCACTAGTGTACATTTGGCTGATTTTAACATTACGAAAAAGTCCTGCCTTCTCTCTCAAAACACCAACACTATCATAATAAGTACTTGTTTGACATTGGTCGGATTTATCTTATTGGTTTCCCTCGTTTACCGCTACAGATGGCGTTTGCGGTATTTTGTTCACGTTTTGAATCTCCACAGAAGGAAATATTTCAGTTCAAACGGTCAGAGATTTCTATATGATATATATGTAGTCTGTGCTGATCTCAGTTGTGAAGAAGTTTATATTAGAGAAAACTTGGTTACAATATTGGAAAACGATGGTAAAACAGTTTTCTTTCCTCGACGTGACGCATCACCAAATAAACCAACTGTGACACAAACATTAGAACAAATGGATAGAAGTAAATGTATTCTAATCTGTATTTCTGATGCCTTTTCTTCAGACCAACTCTGTGAATTTCAAGTTAACATGGCATTAGAACGTTCAATACACGATAGAGACTGTACTGTTATTGTGGTTATTTTAGAAGAACTTTCTCCTGATAATGTCAATAAAACAATCAATCATTTATTAAGGACACATCAAAATTATCTTCTTTGGGATGAAGAAGTAGAGGCAAATGCTTTGTTTTGGAGAAAACTTAATGAATATATTGCATAAATTCTTAATTTATTTATCATGTCTTAATGCACACAATCTGTATATCAGAGGTTCATTGATCATGGAGAGAGTAAAACTTAGCCATTTCGTTAAACAATTTGTTGCGGTCACGACATTTGTCATATTTACTCAACGGATTACCAACAATTAATTAATTAACTTTATTTCAATTAGCATACCTGCTTATATTTTATTAAAGGGATTCTAAAGTTTTCTGAACTTTTTATGTATAGCGGGGACACTGATAGTATCAAATTGCACAATTCCAATTTTCATTCCGACAATTGTTCTTGCAATTCCACTAAAACTAACGCGTTTTATGACGCCACTAGAGGGGAACTGCATATTAATAGTAGCTTCCGGTAGCTCCCCTCTAGTGAAGTTATAAAACATGTTAGTTTTAAAGAGTTTAGAAAACCTCTTTACAATCCCTTTAGTATTCGTTTTCTATATTTTCTTAAATTATCCATGATATTTTGAAAAAATATAAAGCAGAATTATTGTTATTGTTTTTTTTATGTTACTTTGTAGTTTAATTTGTAGTTAAGTGGGAACTAATGAAAACTGGTTTCTAAAATAAAGTTTTTTTTTAACTATTTCTTTATGAATAAGGACAATCGCAGCTCGGCACAGGAAACGAGTTATCAGTTCAGACAGAATTCAATCGTATATGTTTCTTTAAAGCAATAGTTTCCGTGTGTGATTAAATTTAAGTGAAAAATGAACCATCCGTAGCTTTCGTTTTCCACACAATATAACTTTGAACAAAATAAAATTGTTCATTCGTGACCTTATTGATTCTCAAGTTTTCTTTTTGAACTAAATTACTATCGTCTTTAAGAAAAGTGCATGAATGTATCTTGGTAAATGGCTGGTGTTTGTCTAGATACGTTTCCTTTTTGTACAACACACGAAAGTGAAATTTCTAGATTGAGGTATATTTGAATGGAATTTGCTGTTCGTTTAATTTTAGTACTTCTGAAGACTATTTATATATATATTCACGATCCCAAATCAATCCCGGAAAAAGACAAACCATCATAATCTTTCCAATACTCTATATTTTAATGACACCATTCCCTAACATTGCGAAGAGAAGAAATAAATTTAACGACAATCTTCTTCTATAAGATATTATTAACTAGGTGCTGAAGTTTTTAAACCAACTAATTGTCAAATCGCTATGTATGACATAGTGCTGGCACGATATATCGGTGAATCGAGATACGGCTAACCACTTCTATCAACTAAGTTACCAAATATCACAGTTATAAAGTTATGAATTAATATATATATAAACTAGAAAGATAAAACGTTTATATTTATCCCATTAACCCATCAAGATAATTATGTATTATATCATTATATTGCATTGTAGAACGATACTTTCAGTTCCACATTATACTTTTGTTTTATTTTGATTACACGTTCTGGCGATATCGAATCCAGGTCCCTCCTCGACGAAATTATACGATAAAGATAAATTATCCCTCTTTCATCCGAACACGAGGAGCATTCGTCATAAGCTCGACACCAACTAGTAACCTACCCGATTTTAAAAATCGAACCTCCTCTCAGATTTCTCTGCCAATAATTTCTGAGGAGGAAATTATTGACCTCATAAAATGCATGGAAAATAAAAAAACAAATGGCTTTGATAAAATCAGTAATATTATCCTTAAAAATACCACATCTTCCATAAGTTTTCCACTACTCCTCCTATTTAACAAATCACTTGAATCTGGTACTTTTCCAACACTATGGAAAGAAGCGAGGGTTATGCCCCTTTATAAAAAAAAGGGGAAACCTGGAATGTAAGTAATTATAGACCAATTTCACTACTAAGCTGTATCAGCAAATTGTTTGAAAGAGTAATTTTTAAACATTTGTATAATTATTTTCATATTAACAAACTTCTAAATCCTTACCAATCTGGTTTTAGACCAGGTCATTCGACGGTTCACCAACTAATTGAGATTAACAACGACATTCTAGTTTTAATTGAAAAAAAGCAATTCGCTTGTTTCGCATTTTTCGATATATCTAAGGCCTTTGATCGAGTGTACCATCTTGGTCTCATTTTTAAATTGTCATGGAATATGTGGTAAATGTCTTGACTGGCTTTCAAGTAACCTGACAAATAGATTTCAGCGTGTATTTGTCAAAAATGCCTTATCACCAGCTGAAACTTTGAACTGTGGTGTGCCTCAAGGTTCCGTCCTAGGCCCCTTACTCTTTCTCATGTATATCAACGACATTCAAGACGTTCTTCAAAATTTATCGCGTTCTTTCAAACGCAATCTTAAAAGCCGTTTTTTTTTTTTTGATCAAATTCAGCCCCAGTTTATTATGGTGCCGGAGATAGGAAAGATAATATTTTATTAACTCGAATTCGTCATAATTGCAGCGGTTTAAATGCTGATCTTTTCAAAATTAATGTAATTTCTAATCCTTCTTGTAGATGTGGCTACCATAATGAAAACTCATTTCATTACTTTTATAATTTTAATCTAATTTGTCTGGCTATGATATTAATTTAGAGTTGATTCTGTGTGGAAATCGTACTTTCTCTGTCGATACTAATATTTCCATTTTAAATCATGTCCATGAATATATTAAAGTCTCAAAACGCTTTTCATAATCAAGTATTATTGTATAACTAATTTCTGTACATTATTCTCTGGTTGCCAGTTTATTTTTTTTTTCTTCTTTATTAATAAATATAAATTCGTTTCTAAAGATTCCATAGTTGTTTTGATGATTCCCTTCACTGTTAGTATAAAGTTTTGTTTTCATATCTTGTTTATAACTTTGTAAGGAGAGGATTTGTCCTAAGCAACTTGTATCCAATCCTTTTGAGTATTTCAATTAAATATGTTTAAACTAAACTAAATATCATGACCCTTGTATCGCGATACGTATCGTACTGTGACAAGATTATGATCATACCCAGCACTAGTAGGCCTTTCTACAAAATTGTGTACATGTTGTTATAAAAATCTGCATTTGACAGAATCATAAAGTAGAGCAGGTGAAAATAACTGAATAAGATTCTATAAATTAGTTAATAAGCTGATCGGTCAAAGCAAAACTAGCAAAAATTATGAGGGAATTACTTGTTCTTCCAGGGCTAATAATAAAAAAAAAATACTGCAAGCGTTTTAGTGTTTCACCAACTTTAACAAAAATCTGTCCGCCTCTAGTTTTCGAAAATATGTTGTATTCAACCCAATTTCATAGGCCGGTAGTTAAGATAAGACTGTGGTCAAGTGGCTTAGCTTCGAATGATACAATATGATAATTTGATTCAAAGTTCAAGGGAAGTAACTCTTTACCATTTATATTTGTATCATACTTAAATCACAATCTGGTTGGAATTTACATAATTATATTGAACATTTAGATAGACAGTTGCGTATAGGAGCTAATGTTTGGGTCATCCCACATTAGAAAATCGACAAAGGACAAAATGTCAAAGAAAAACTATCAACATTTATGAGGGGAATTACTTGTTCTTCCAGGGCTAATAAAAAAATTCGGCAAGCGTTTTCAAGTCTTAACAACTTAAACAAAATCTGTCCGCCTAAAAACAGTTTTCGAGAATATGTTGTATGCAACTCTGATTCATAGGCCGATGGTTAAGATAAGACTGGTAAAGTGGCTTAGCTTCCAATGATACAATATGATAATTTGATTCAACGTTCAAGGGAAGTAACTCTTTACTATTTATATTTGTATTATACTAAAATCACAATCTGGTTGGAATTTACATAATTATATTTAACATTTAGACAGTGGCGTATAGGAGCTAATGTTTGGGTCATTCCACATTAGAAAATCGAGAAAGGACAAAATGTTAAAGCAAAACTAGCAAAATTTATGAGGGAATTACTTGTTCTTCCAGGGCTATTTAAAAAATACTGCGAGCGTTTTAAAATTTCACCAACTTTAACAAAATCTGTCCGCCTAAAACCAGTTTTCGAAAATATGTTGTATGCAACTCCGTTTCATAGGTCAATGGTTAAGATAAAACTGGTAAAGTGGCTTGGCTTCGAATGATACAATATTTATGATAATTTGGTTCAAGGGAAGCAACTCTTTACCATTTATATTTGTATAATGAGGACTCACTCCACTAATTCATTTGCCATCTGTTCCCATGTTAAAACACGAAATCCAACCTTCTACAAATTTTTCAAGAAATCTTGTTGAAAGCTTTCCAATATGACGAATGGACGCCTGACCAATCCTTAATGTCTCCTAAAAACTTAGGCATGCAAAAACCCCAATAGGGAGAGAGAAAGAAGATTTCTAAAAATAGCATTAAATGTTTTAGTGGAGGGAGTCCATACTTAATTCACATAATTATATTGGACAGTGGCATACAAAAGGGCTAACGTATGGGCCATCCCACATAAAATTTTCCAGACTAGTCCCCCACACAATGACCAGTGTCCTCTAAATCGAATAGGAGCGCCGAGCTAAAGCGATTAAAGAATAGGATGACAGTGTCAGATTACTATGATGTAGAACTTATCTAGATCCCTTGGCGAAAACTTGGGTATTTTAAAATTTATTTTCCAACCCCTGACACATAAATGTGCCGATTCAAAACATTAACACTATATGTTGAGTGAATAGTTAACAAAAACAAATGTGATTGTGTTGATGAAAAATGTTTTGGATTATATATATATATATTATATAGCCAATCAAAGCCAACCACAAAAACCATCTTTCTGACGATGGCTCTGATTGACTGTATTCGTTGGACTACAATCCAATAAAATAGCTGCCTGTATAAACTTGTGGTTTCCCCCTGTCAGTGACGCAGGGAAGAGGGCTGTCATGGAAAAAGCGTATAGTCTTGCAGATAAGACAGTAAACCGAGGCCCACTATGCTTGAGGCATAAAGATGCCTCGACGGTTGGACATCAAAAAAGAGCAGACTAATGACACTGTCTTGGCAAAATGTTTATCATTGCACCTTGCATGTCGTTCTCCGTCTTCATTAGCTCACATGGTGCAGAATAGTAGGACCTAAAACTCCATTCAGTTCGTTTTACTAACTTGAGTGGTACAAGAAAGTGCCTAATGCAGGTAAATACTATGTAATTAGTGATACTTTGACATAGTGACGATATTCTCGACTATGCTTTAAATTTGTGTCTATAGGCCCCGTGATATCTCTTGTTGTTAATGGCCTCAGAAATCCAGCGAACCGACATCAATTATCAATTACCAACGAAGATGGAAATCTTAAGACATTGCGAAATATATATCGAATTTCCACGATTTATCTTAATCTCCTCTTTGATTTCTTTTTTATCATGTACTCCTTCAGGTAAAAATGAGTGCTTGTTTGAACCAAACATACACCGACCCTCTTATTTTTAGACCTGAACTTAAGTTAGCCAGTGACGGCGAGAGTGGGGGTACAGCCTAGAAAAATGGTTTGCACCCCCAATTGTACCCCAATTTATTTGAAACACATTTAAAAATATTATTTTTATACGTTTTTGCCCCTAAATATGTGTCGGAATGCACCAAGTCAATTCAATTTTTTGAACCCTTTCAGACGCTTAATGAGAGGCTTGCGACTATTAAACCTCTACAAAGTTGCCGCTTTCTGAAAAACAGCCTGGACAGTTGTTAGTCTGCCGCCGACTTGTACCCCAGTTTCGGGAGACTGGCGCCGCCACTTTAGTTAGCACGTACTTGCCGACCTTTCGTATAGTGCAACTGGGACGCCCCTTGTGTTCTCCTTCAGAAGCCGCGTTGCTTGACTGGACCTGTGATGCGGTTGTTCTTGCGGCAACAATAATTAGGCTCACCTGCACACTCAAGAAACATTTCCAGACGTCTTTTGACCGATCATGTGGGATATTCCGTCGATTTTTTTAAAACGTAGATAATTTCATTTTAAATGGGCCAGGTTTTACCAAAGGGTTAAGGATTACATCATAGTAGAGGTCGAGATAGTACCTTTGAAATATCCAACTAAATTATTCCGTATCGGAGGGAAAGGCATAAAGATCTTTCCCCAAAGGAAAGCTTAAAGCTCCATAGGCACTTCAAGGCGTTGACGTCTTCATTATCCCAATAAAGTGTAGAAAATGCAACAAAATATCCATTTAATCTCATTTAGTTCTCATTTTAGAGTGGTTTCAAACTTTAACACTTTAGTTAATCTGACAAATCTGATTATCAGGTTAAAGTATAAGTTTTGAAATCAGATCGTAATCCTCGGATGATAACGAATACCCCAATATAAAGCTCGTACTTATGAAGATCATTTTAAAGATCATTTTGAATTCGCACTATCTACAAGACTGATAACATGATTCTGATTATCGGAGCACTGGTGGCTGTTGCCGTTGCCGATCCTTCTGAACCTGGCTGTTGTTTACCTCCTCAATGGGAAGGTTTCCAAGGTGCTATAATTGGACAGGTTATCGGAGCGCTTCCAAAATCCTTTCACGTAAGTTTGATTTTTTTGTAGACAATTCAATAGAAATGATAAAATTTATTGTATTTGTCTGGCAAAATTGGGATTATTAGATGCGAGGAAGTGGATGCCACTAATCGGACTATCTGTATCAATTTTGAAATCGTTTTTTAGAGTCCCCAAAAGCTGATACTGTTGTTTTTTTTGTGTGTACATTTATCACACATTCAGAGGCAGAGGTCAAAACTGTATTAGATTTAAGTTCCTATGTCCAAAGACTTTATCGACCCTTCCGGAACACCAGATGTCGGACTAAGACTGGTTTTCTAAACTTAGCAGGAATCCCCCTTTGAAAAGTTTACAAAAATAATGATTTGTAATTTGGCATATTAATTGGTACTGGTAATCTTGGTAAGGTCACCATCGAGGTGCATGCCTATGAAGTTTATTCACACGACATTTATAGTGTCCGCGAATTTGTAATTTTGTTTTTCTCTGGGGCAGATGGTCTCATTTAGTGACAGAATTTGTCAAAATATATTTCAGGAAGCTACTAAGATATCTTATGATGAAACTAACAATAAAATAGCTTACACTGTCGTTGAAACTGCTGGAGCTTCCTCATCACCGGCCATTAAAATTATTCAGGACTATTCTGAGGTTTGTATGAGCAAATAAGAATAACGAGAGGCAAATTTGAAATAAATTTCAGAATTTTGCACTAGAAGTAAGAGACATTTCAGAGATTCAAAGAAATACAGAATTGTCTTTATGTAGAAATGAAGTTTTGGAAATATTTATTGATTCCTATTTAAGGGCCAGAAATACAGCCCAGACAATCTGGCAACCAAGATATCCCACCTGAGTGCTCTGCCAAACACACTGTGTCATAAGAGATCATTTTTTGGCCAGAGAGTGTAGCTTCGTCCTCGTTTTTTAAAAAGGTTTTAGAAATTACTATTGATTTTTTTAAAGGGTCAACAATATATCATTAATATGGCTGCCCAGACATGTCAACCAAGTGCTCTGCCAAAAACCTTTCAGAAAATATGTCTACCAGGTAAGATTTGTCAAACATTAAATAAATCACAGGGACCAGTAACCCGGTGAACTTCGTCGTAGCATTAAGGGGTGCATTCGTTTAATATTATTACTTTAATGCATAGTACGAATTCATTAAAATTGTGCTCATCGCAACACCAAACCATAAATCCCAAACATAATAAGCATGCCTGTTTTACTTGAGAGTACAATGAATTATCATGAAGTATCATGTCTTCTATGGGCCTGTTAAATCTTCACCAAAACCGTTTTGATATTGGAACATACCGTTGGTTGGTAGATGAAATATTAATGTTCGCAGAAGCTGATATCTCAGACTACAGAATTTATGTGTTTTCATTCAGCTGATGCAAAACCATTAGGCAAATTCTATTTTGGTATTGGTGATACAAAATTAGAAGCAGTTTCCTTTGGTGTTTACGTAAATGGTGCAAATGTCACTGCAGTTCTGACATCAGATAATTGTGTGCCTATTTTTGAAGTTCTCACAACAGCCAACACTAAAATGGGTAAGTTATTACAGATTGCCGATCGAGATATGATTAAATTCCAATGTGGCGTAGACATTTATTGTACACACAGAGCTAAATGCAACAGTTTTGGTTAATATTTATCGAAGGCAAGTGCGTTAATACTTCATGTAAAATCACAAATGTTTAAGAACAGTATAATGCTATAAAGAGTAACACTACATTGCTTTTTTTTAGCAATGATGCAAGCACTTGCATTTATTAATATAACACCGGGCATTCTAAATCCAGATGTTTTTAGCATTCCTGATATTTGCAAACAAGTAAGTTATTCGTTTGATTAAGCCTAGTTTTTTTAATGGAAGTATTCCCTGGGGAAGGTGGCTCAAGGTAGTAAAAGCTTGCTCCCTATCTAGTTAAAAGAGACGGATTGTTTCTCAATTACACCTTGTCCATCTTGACTTAATTTTATCTTTATTCCTTTATTAATTTTTCACATGTACTTTTGAAATTATTTTTCCCAGATGACGAACTATGCGCAAGAGTCGTATTTTGGTCGGAATGACATTTTATTTTTAATCTAACGCTAGTATATGTTTATTTCAGAGGAAGCCTGTGAGTTTTGGTGAAGCTGTGAGAAGAACTGGTTTATTTTCTGGTCATTAAAGGGCGAAATTTCAATATTCGACTCAATATACTTTGTATTCCATCCAAAACAGAATAATAAAATAATCATCATTAAAAATATCATGTTTTGTGTGGTTTTGTTTTTTAATCTTTAAAAAGGGAGAAAAAAGTGTAAACTTGGTATTTTTTTTAGCCCAACGATACGTTGTGCCGCCTGTAGCTAAATTATGAGTAGCCTCACTTTGAAAACTTTTTCCATTTACGTTACCTATTCGTGCGAAGAAATAACTACTTCTGTGAGTTCTTGGTGCCATGGACGCAATTACAAGTAGAGAGTTTAAATTTCCAAAACTTATATTTCTATGGACACGAATACATTATATAAAAAGCATGCAGATTTGAAAAGAGCGCGATCATAGTCGACGATGAGTAGTAGAAATGTACTAACCGTAAACAGGCCTATATATTCACCTTGATCAATAACATCACGAGTAAAACAGACAATGGCGGTGGTTACAAACTGGAACACAACTTGTCGTAACGAGTCCCTTACGACACGAAATGAGTTTAAAGATAAACATTTGTAAAAATAGTTCACTTTTATTTGATTGAATAAATTAGTATGGAAATATACATAAGTTCGACCAGACAGAAATTTGCTCATCGTGAACCGGTCTATATATTCACCTTTGGCAAGTCGCGCTTTAAAAGTCTTTCTTAAGTTGTAAAATGATAAAGGATGTCTGGGTATTCAAGACGAAAAATCACATGATAGTTGATCATTAACAAATACATAAAGATTGTCCCGTGAGGTCTGATCATTGTGATTGAACACAGTCACTGAAAAGTTGCATAATACAAGCTCATTCTGTCGCCAAGATGTTGAAATTGGTTGTCATCTCTGCATGCCTTGTTGCTGTTCTTGGACAATACAAATTCAATGATGAATCAGAGTTGCAAATGGAGTATCCCACTGTTGCCGGCTGTTGTACACCCGACCAATGGGAAGGATATCAAGGTATAATCGGTGGATATGCCAGATTCATTAAAAAAGGAGCCGTTTACGTAAGTCTGAAATTACTGTTTATATAATTCATAAATGTTTCGTTTGTCTATAACGCAGATCGAAGTTGATAGTGTAGGAAAACAACTCAAAATGTATTGATTTTAGATTGGCATGTTATGCAATTCGTTTTTTGCAAAGGGTACAAGGCATAATCGTAAACTTGTGGGAGTTACTGGGGCCATAGAATCAGCATTATCGTCTTGTTTTTTGCTACTGGATAGTTTGTTCTGGTGTTTTGTAGCCTAAATGCCCACTCAAGTGACAATTCTGAACTCATGAGACATTCTGTCTGCAGAAAACCTATGTACCAGTCACAATTCTCAAGTGCCACGAATTCCTGTTAATATATTTCGAAACCATTTGCAGATCAGTGACAACAATTTATCCAATTAGTCGAAATTGCACTCGCCAGGGATTCTTAAATCAAACTATGTTTGTGAGATTCTATGGACTATTTTCTGGAACCCAAGGAACATTCTAGCCAGTATCCTTCAATATGTTCCTACTTTTACATATTATTTTGGAATAAGATCATTTGCATAAATGATTTTTTTTTCAGGGCTATACGAAAGTCTCTTACGATGCCAAGAATGAAAGAATTGCTGCTGTTGCCAATATGACACGAGACGGTAAAAACCATGCCATTCGTGTCATTGAAGATTATCAAAATGTGAGTCATAAGTTAAATCCCCCAATTTCATTGTTATGAGAAACAACTTAGAAATCCAAATGTTGTAATGTAATTTACTAAATAGTTGCGCTCCAGTACATTTGAAAATTTTGATTGTTTTTTTTGGGCTTCATGCCAAATGAAAATACGTGTTGTAAAGTTTCCAAGTGGCTGGATGATCCAGGCTTTTTTTTAAATTGAAGGTGTTATAAACTTGAATAATGGGTCTTTACTTTTCTTTTTTTTTTCGCTCTGATGGACTCACTCCACTAATTCATTTGCCATCTCTTCCCATGTTAAAACACGAAATTCAACCTTCTACAACTTTTTCCAGAAATCTCGTTGAAGGCTTTCCAATATGTCGAATGAAAGCCTGACCAATTCTCAGTGTCTCCTAAAAAATTCAATATATGATGACCATGAAAATTTTGAGCTACTTAAATTGAAGTAGACTACTACCGATTATACTCATCCGCTAGAGTGTGGCACTTCACAAAACGACTACCTTTAGAATTAGCCTTCCGCCTTTAGGTCTCTCATCATCTCACCAAATCTTAAAGATAATGCAATTTCAGACATCAAATTCCAAATCTAGACCAATAATAGGCATGCAAAAACCCCAAAAGGGAGAGAGGAAGAAGATTTCTAAAAATAGCCTGGACTACATTCGAATGTGTTAGTGAGTCCTGGTGGTTTGATACCTTTAGATTACGAGATCTGTTTCATTCTGTTTGATATAGAACTTTTTTTTTTTTATTCAATGTTTGTAACATTTAAAACCCGTCTTTCACCGTCTTTCAGATCTACCTGGGATATGCACTATGAAGTATTCTAACCAATATTATTCTTCCTATACTGTTCTTTTTTCATGTCACGCGTGTAATTCCAGATTATGTCACTTTCAAAACCATTTTCTTGATGTGTATTGCAATGGACTTGCAGGAATTTCAGAAGTAAAACATCGAATTGCTGCAAAATCAGCTTTTGAAATCCTTAAAAAATATATTTGAATCCAATTTCAAAGAAAAATTGCTTGTTTAATATGCACTTATTTCCGCAATTTCTAATAATCAAGAATAAGTTTCCTGTTATTTACTTTCCCACTTCAACCTTACCTGGGTTATAATGGGACGAAATCTAAATTGATCTTCAATGTATTTGTTACTCCGACATTTACCTCATTCACGATCTTTATACATGTACGTACCTACATTGCTCGGGATTTTCCTGTGGCTAAATTTAGACTAACATTACATGTCGATCTTTGTAACATTGAAATTTTGTCTAAAACCGAAAGTAGAGCAATATAACGTCCTCTTTGATTTTCGTCATCTCACAATTCGTTATGTTATCAAGAGTTCTACATGGAATGCTTTGATTCGATTTTTCACAAAATAGCGTCATTAGAACGGAACTGTGTTAGAAACTTGTTAATATTACAAAGGGGACGAAAACTATCAGAAAACAAAAACTAAACGAAATTGAATAGATTTGATTGGTGCTACTTAAAACAAGGTAAACCAGAAATCTAACATTCAAATCTCTTATGATTCAATAGGGAAAGATTTACATCATTAGTTTGAAAAAGAATTGGTGTAAAACACTGACGACAAAACGATCTTTCAAGAAAGCATGTGTTCCAAGTAAGTTTAAGCAAACATCCTCAAACAATATCATCTGGATCAGTTAAGTGTTGGGCACAGAGCACCAATTATTGCGTTGTTTAAGTGATCAATCGACTCGTTACGTTGCATTAATTACATAGTATTTCTGAGCTTAATGTGTTTAACAAGCACTCTTGGGAGCACCTTTAGATACATTGTTATTCTTATATTCTATTCAGAATCTGCTGTGAAAATTGGAGAATTTTATCAAGGCACTGGATTAAGAAAACTGACACAAGTAGCATACTACTACGAACACAAATCTTTCTTTAATGTTGTAAGATCAACTTTTGATTTGACCAAGAAAGGATGCATTCCAACCAATGAAGTCATCAGTGGCCGTGTAAAAGGAGGTAAGTCTCTAGTAAGGAAAATGATTTTAGGAGATTTATCATAAAAAAAAAAACCCTTGTCACTGCCAGTAGAATCTGGAACTGTCTGCCCGTAAACGTGTTAAACGAGTTCCTGGATCCATTCTAACAGGACTAAGAGGTATGGATGTCAACTACTAACGACAACTGTTTTATCGTGGTTAAAAGAGTTTAAATTGATTTTCTGGCGAGAAATTAGACATGAATTACTGCCTATGACTTAATTAGTGGTTCCTCATAACTTTGTAACCCTTTGACAAGTACCATAATATACGTAGAGTAATAAGAAACACAAATGTCAAATCTTAGAGCACCAATTATCAATGTGTATTTATAGTGAACTTTATGGACGTTGTTGGATTTAGTGATATTACTGCTGGAATTAAAGATCCAGCTGTCTTCAACCCACCTGAGTCGTGCAACAAGACGGAAAGCGATAGTGTAAGTCATGCCTTTATATACAGCTACAAGCCCTAAGTGGATGTTCCCTGTTCCGTTCACCCGATACCCACTAAAATTAATACTGTGGCGAGACAGCTTATGCTCACCCTTTTGGCTCAGCTGAAGAGAGTCCATATTGAGTGTTATTTACGTTGCATTGTAGCGACATAGGAGGTGCTCGTTATTCCAGGCGACCCAGTTGCAAATGGGTATAGATAATATGAAAGATGATAAATTCCCAGAAGTTTGCCAAGGAGCAGCTGTCTGTCAGGACTTTATGAACTGAAATTTTTAACTTTGTTAAAAAATACAGTTGTTTGTTTTACTATCAATATGGTGTACTTTAATAACTGTTGTATTTCAGGGTCCCAACTTCGAACTTCATGAACACATGCTATACCGTGAATTCAGATATTTTGGTCTGTAATAATCTGTTGTGCTACGATAATCTCCACTGCAGTCCATTTTTGCCTTCAATCTCATCTTAATTTTTCTATTGTGTAAATCAAGTCAAACTTATTATCTCGGTTATACACCTCATATCTCCAATAATGCAATAATCTCCAAATGAATATATTTTTGCTTCAATTTCAAATTTAATTTAACTGATATTGTTATTTTTTTTTAATATTTTTTTACTTTAGTGCTAATATGCTTTTGTACAAAGGCTTTTCTTGTACGTGCTTGCTTGAATCTCACACGTTCAAAAACGGAAAGTTTAGTCTTTTGTGATGTTTGTTTTTATTGCAAAAAAAACTTCCTTCCACTAAACACCCATAATAATCCAAACGACGGTTATTCATCTTGAAGTTCTTCAAGTTGTATACTATGCTTTTATATGTTTATAAGGGTGTTCCAGCACAACTGCATTATTTCTGAGGGAGTAATGTAACATTATTTTGTATTTGTTCGTAAGCCTGCTAACATACTGAATAAAACAGTATTTTGAAACTCTTTTGTACGTCAGTTTAGTAATAAAATTCTTATAAAAAGTTTAAGCTTAGTCTATACATATGGTCATTCCAGAATTGCCCCAAAAATTATCAAAGATTGGGAGCGTGTCTCTTGCATGGTTCATTAAATAGATATAAAGAACAGACTTTAAAATTCCAGCAGATGGTGTTCTGTGATTCATCAGCTATCACCAAATCTTCTTAAAGAGTACACGAAGTAGGACGTAAAACTCCATTTATTTCATTTCAAGATTACACTTTTTGTTTGATTAATAAACATCGTTAATACACGGGTTACCTCCCTTGGAACTTTTTGTTTACGTGTATTAGAAATAAAATGGAAAATAAATATAAAATATAGGAGTATTTGTCATTTTTGAACTGTATTCGAATGCCATATGATTGCATTTGTAAGAATACATGATTAAGAGTTGACGACTGTAACTGGTTTGGGTTACGTGACTTAATAAATGCATTCTTTAAATATGAAAAAAAGGTTTCGATATCAATTTCTAATTAATTGTAGACTAGGTGATGCGCCAATATTCAGTAAAGGTGTGATTACCCGAAATAGTGATCACGTGTAGGTTGATATCAACTAATGTGAAGGTGATCGTACTGAATTCTCATTGTGCTAATTCTACAGGCTATAATACTTGACGGAATATCTTTGTTCTGATGTGTATATTTGTAGGAAGGCAAAGGTCATTGTGCTGGACTTTGCGCAAAAATATCTTGTGATAATTTACATTTCAATATAGTTCTTTTGAAAACTTTAATTGCAGTAGAACAATCTGGTAATTAACAGGTCAATCTCCATGACGTCAAATCCCAATCTTTAATTAACGTATTGAATTGGTGAGGACGACCAGAACTTCTACAAACGTGATTCTTTTTGCTGCTTCCTTGACTGTGATGGTCAACATATTCTACATGGAACACTGGCTGAAATACGAAGAACAAAATATACAATGTATATGGGGGTGGGGATGAAAATAACAAAAAAATTAACAAGAATCATTACAAAGTTGTCTCCTTTTGTACACAATGCGAATACATTAAAAGGTCATCTGTGCATCAATTCATTGACATCAAAGTGCTTAATTTGTATATATGATCTTTCTGGTGTGGCCTCTTTTTGTGCCCTTTCTTGGAAAATAAATTTCAAGAAAAAATACACTTGTGAACTTATAGTTCTATGACGACATATTGCTCATGTTTAAAACACGGTAACAGAAGGGGGTAATCCTTGTTTTATTCAATAAATTACCGAACAATAGCTGGTTTTGAAGTAAACCGAAGTAGCTGACTTCTTCTAACTTAAGTGGCACTTCATGTTTAAACACGAACAAACTATTGGAGCTTGTCACAAGAAAAGGTCCTAGAAAATGAAGTCCTTTGAGAATACAGTAAAAAGAAAAACTACAGAATTTCATTAATTCAATATGATCTTCGGCCAAGTTCAAAGTATTTCAGGCTATCAATCATTACATTTTGATGCCACTAGGGAAGCCATTAAGAATGCATGAAAGGTTTTGTCAACATAGGGTATTGTTTTTGTTAAATAAGGTCACTTGAGAAAGGTTATCAAATGGAGAAGAGGTCAGTGAAACTTAGTTAATTTTGTTTTTCTTTTTTATTTTCTTACATTATCAAAATATTTAAATATACGTTTTTGCATATTTTATCTTAACTTACATTTTGTTTTTTACGCCCACATTTTACGTTATTGAATACCTAGGTCTGCTCTTAAACGCCAACACATAATATTTCATTCCGTTATGATCGCTGTACATTCTTTCACTAACCTTAATACATGTTCATTATGCTCCGCACTCCCTTGAACTACAACAACCAATGGCAAGAAGCCAGACATCGTAGCACCAACCAATAAGTGTGTTATTTTCAATGCATTCATCTGATCTGAAGCTAGTTACATAAATGATACGTATAGATGCTATGGAATTCTCGGCCCGACCAAGATGAATGAGGATCGAGATATCGTAGCGAAAAGAGTTTGTTGTATAAAATTACATACCTTGCTGTGGTCAATAAATGGTTTATATTTATTACATTCATCGTATTCAACACATTCTTCATTCAGGGCCCAATCAAAATAAGGTTCTAAATCTTTGATCAGATCTACAGCGTTCTTCAGACCAACAGACAAACCCTTGGAATGAGCAGCTGAAATATGAGAATCAATACAAATTGCAGTTGCACATCATTTGAAATGTTGAACGGGTTGTCAAGAGTTCAAGTGTATCGGGGACACTTATAGCTGCGATTTGCACCATCCAATTTTCAATCAGATGTCTGATAAGCGGTTAGACATCTGACGGAAAATTGGAATGGTGCAAATAGAAGCAATAGATGGCTTTGACATTCATAAAAAAAACTCGTATATAGCTATCAAAACTATTTTCTAGACGTAGTACTCTTGTACATTAACATACCAATTTCATCGAAATGCAATATACCATCTGTCGCGATGGGAAATGTAACTAGCTCTAATATTGTTGTCCCTTTTTGACAATTCTCTTCTTTTGGTAAACGACAACCTAATACCCATAATACCTGGAAGAATCTTTGTAATTCAGCTATGATACTCCGAATAGGGAGATCATACATATGGTCAAGACATGGAATGAGTTCGATTGAAATGACTTTGCAATTAACCGTTAACGGATATTGATCTGTTGCCCTTGACTTTGCGAAAATGCGTCACTTTCCACATGCTTAATACATAAATTATTTGTTGGACAAATCGTTGACAAAACGGTATCGGATTCATATGAAAAGCTGTAATCATGGTATTTATCAAGCTGATGACGATTAGTCCAGTAGATCTCTTAAAATCCGATAAAGACACCCATTAATTAGATTAAAGAAGAACTGTCTGAAATCTTACGACTCAAAATTATTTCTGTCAAGCAGGACGACCAAACATTCACTAAGGGCAATTTTTTTAGCTTTATTGCCACGATAAGTGTAAGGAATATGAATAATTACTGTTGTAACATAATTGCATTTTTTACTTAATGTTTTAAAGCAATGAATTTCTTAAAATGTGGGCTCGAGGAAAATGATAGTCTATTATCAGTAATTTGTTGTACAATAATTTGATAACTTAACATGAAGGTCAAATAGAATTTTAGATAAAAGTAGGGGGAGCTTAGGTATGCTACAACCAGTTCATTTTGATGTTATTGCACAGCTGAAGCTCCTTCCCATTTTGTAATATATAATACTCGTTAGATCCGTGGTGTATATATTTCACTTGTATTATAGCGCAAACAGGTAACGTAAATCGATAAGGTTTCCACATATAGTCATAACTTAGCTACATTTTTAGGAATGGCCAGGTGATTTTAAGACTTCATACCTTCTGATTTGAACTATAGAAAATTTATTTTCGTTTAGGACAAGCTAGGGATAGCGATATCTTGCATTTTGTTGTGCAGATTAGAGGGTGCGAGCCGACATGTAGTGTTACCGGATGAGGAACGAGTAGGACCAGATTTGTCGGGCTATTTTGAACATGATCAAATCATATGTCTTGTTACAAACATGGGCCCGATTACTCGAAGTGCCCTGAGAATACAGTCAAAAGAATTTTTAAAGAATTTTCATTATTTCAACTAGTATGTTTACATGTCGTGGGGAAAATATTTCAAGCCTACCATTACGTTTTGATGCCACTAGGGAAGCCGTTAATAATGAAAGCGCTAACCAAATACTTAATAAGTCGTTTAAGCCATCGAATGTCAATCTGCAGTAAGTAAATTTTAAATTAAATTATTAGAAAAGGCATACTTGAATTTGAAAGTTTTTTTGCTTCTAATTTGCCAACCTGTCAATAAGAAAGCTGTAAGGATTAAAGCATTATTCATTGGCACAATTAGTGACGGATTTTGACGAAATTTGGTGTGAGTGTCTCTTAAATCTATTTAAAATAAACAAAAATTGATATTGATACAGTTATTGCTCTTGAAAACGCGTTCAATTTGTGCCTCATAAATACTCCAGAAAGGACAATTCTTGGCGGATTTTGACGAAACTTGGTGTGAGTATTTGTAATCACGAGTGTTTGTAATCATTCAACAATCAAATATTTCTTGGTGAATTGTTAATTATCTCCCATGGATGAACCCTATTGAAAATCAAAAAATATTTTATCATGCATTTATTGACCTTGTTCTTACAAACGCTTTCAATCTTTAGCTCGTAAACAATAAAAGGAACAATTCTTGCTGGACTTTGACAAAGCTTGACAATATTATTCAGTATCACCACAAAAAGTCCAAAAGAAGTGTATGACTGGAGGTTGAATATTTCATACTGGTGAATGCACTACCAAATATTTATTATTTAAAATCAAAGCTGCCAGTGGGCGTATTACCTTGCCTGGAAAGATATCTTCTGATGTCTTTTAAGATAATGAAATCGTTTAGTTTTCTGATGATAATGTTGTTCTTTCGGAAAGGTGAACTCGAATGCATTGCTTCTTAAACTATCATTAACGTCATGTTAATGATGGCATATCAAAGATAAAGGGTCGTAATTTCTCGCTTCTTGTAAGATCTATAGCAAATTGCTAATGCACTCCTTTTAGAACAAGTCAATGTAGCAATATTATAGTTGTTGTTTATATTGAGTGAGAGATGATACCCCAGTGTTAGTTCCTTGGTTTTCATGTCATGTACATGAAAGGTAAAACCATATGTGGTCTAAAAGCTGTCCGTAAATTATCAAGAGAATAGTTCATCGGATATTAGTCTTTAATATATGTAAATAGTCTTTAGAAATGTACGAAAATCACAAAATTCCTTTGAAAATACTTCAGACTATGAATTATACTAATTAGTTCTATATGTGTCTTTCTATATACCACAGAGTATATTGAATTGACGAGTCGTCATTTAAACATTCAAACGCAGATAATTCTGGACACACATGGATTTAAAGGCTCAAATTTCGACGGTGAGCTGTGAACACTATTACTGATTAGCTCAGCTAAAAAGTTCCAGTTTCTGAAACTAAAGTATGATTGGTCAAAAAAGGCCTGCCTGCCCCTTTAATGTATCTAGAGACGTTGTAACTTGTGAGAATAACAGTGCAGCGAGCGATAGATTGCCAGACAAAAAACAAATATATACGCTCACGAAGGTAGTTAAAATAATGCTGTTCATGGTCAAAATTTTTAAATGTTAACATCTTCTCAAGAAGCTATCGTATCAGTCCACATTAGCATACCACGTTTGAATCGGACGGAAACTGTAAGTAGGCGTATAATAGTTTCTTACTTTGAGCAAGCCAAATGTTAAACTGCTTCTGATCATTACTTGTGAGACCTAAACCATTTTTGTTTGAATAACCATCAACATTGTCGGGTTCAACGCCATCGCAACCAAGTTGTACAGCTTTGGTGAGTCGGGCTTCCATAATTTGCTTCACACTATCTTTTCGAATATCAAGCCATCTTTCGTCCCATCCTTCAAGTTTATTGCCTAATGTAGATGCCGGGAACTGGTTGGCATCCGGGCGCCAATTTTCATAAGAGCCAGCCGAAAAGTAGCAAACTAATTTACGACCATGACTGAAAAAAATAAGAACAGCATGCTAGGCGAGGTAACATACGCATGCCAAAAATAAATATCCTTCTTACATTTCATATCATTTTATAAACAAACCACTTTGAAATCATTTATACGCATGGCGCACTAACATTTAGTCCCATTTGGCAATTTAATTTCATTTTCGTTGTACAGTCCCGTGGTCTGCATATTTTGTGGCATATAACGGCCTACGTCCAAAGCTTAACACTGTGAAGATGCTTTTGAGGAATCACCATCAAACATAATTTTTCGAAATTATACAACAATGAGACTCAGTCAGATCAAAACAAATAAAACAGTCTTAAATAAACTGTAGTATTTACTGTCTTCATATTCTGATAAGTATGTTCTACGTCAAGGGAAGTAACTCATCATCAATTTGTTAAAACAACAAACATCCAGAAATATAATATAATGTTAACTAAGTTGTAAGAATAAGAAACAATAAATTCATATCTTTTGTCTTGTGCTAAACTTGTTGTGGATGTTTGTTTGGTGATAAAAAATATTGTCAAATGTGACGTCACATGATTGCAAATAGTTCGATTTGAAATTAGAATTAAAAGCGTACCAGATACTAATTACTATTATGAAATGCAAATCAATTTCAAATTCAGACAAATCCATCAGTCTATTAGACTATTTGCTTTTTCGATAAACATACAAAGTACTACTTAATTTTCTGTTGAGAATTGTTTTATCATTTGCCCTTGCAAGTAGCATTTGTTAAAAGTCAATTTAAGAGCGATTTTGTATTTTTTATTAAATAATAATTTTGCTGAACGTAAATGTTATTAACGAAGGTAACACAGATAATATTATAGCTTAAAACACTTAAATAACCGCTTTCTAGGGTTTAATACGCTTGGATTACGAAATGTTTCAATTCTTATCTGACGAAGCGACATCGTACGTTTTCATCCGGGTTTTTGTCTGGGTTCTTTGTCTGAATCTTACGACTGTTCACCACCAATTTAGGATTTAGAATATATTAAGGTTCCTCAACCAAAAAATCAAACTGTAGAGGATTCAGTTAAAAAAACAATAATATACTCGTATATTTTTAAATGGCGATAGCTTGTAAAAGTTGGAAAAAACAACATGATCAAAAGTCATCAAAATTTCAATATGAAAAATTTGTGATCTATTTTCCGTCTTTTTGGTATAAAAAGGGGCATCTTTGGCTGAATCATGACCAATGTTTTTAGGGTAGGGGTTCAATATTCTGAAGATTATGACTTATTAGTAATTACAGCAAATACAAAATTTAAAAGTGAAATTACTAGTTCGAGATATTTCTGAACGAATTACATTCTATACATAATTAGTTTGATGATACTATGATTAATATTCTATACTTACTTGGTTTTATAATACTATGATTAATATTCTATACTTACTTGGTTTTATAATACCATGATTAACCTTCAATACTTGGTTTTATAATACTATGATTAACATTCTATACTTACTTGGTTTTTATGATACTATGATTAATATTCTATACTTACTTGGTTTTACAATACTTTGATTAACATTCTATACTTACTTGGTTTTATAATACTATGATCATCTTCCATATTTACTTGGTTTTATAATACCATGATTAACCTTAAATACTTGGTTTGATTATACTATTAATTATCTTTCATACTTTCTTGGTTTGATAATACCATGATTATCTTCAATACTTTCTTGGTTTGATAATACCATGATTATCTTCCATACTTACTTGGTTTGATGGTATCATGGCGTACCTTCAATACCTTTTTTTGTGTAATAATTGACGATTTCAAGCATTATAAAGGGATTCTTTTGTATAGTTATGACACCAAGTAGGTCCACTAATGAAATAAGATTCATTTTAACCAAGTTTTAAAATTTCTGTTTTTTGGTTAATCTAAGAGGTAGTATATCTTTAAACACGCCCTCTCTCCAACATTATATAGTAGACTACTCATTATTTGTTACTTTTTTATTTATATTTTACTCTTAATTGCTGCTTTATATTCATATTAATTGTCTGTTTTATATAGAGACGTATTTACATAAGCTTTGTTTTCAATCTGAATCGATATTATGCATAGATAAAATGTAATTGATATGTATATTTCTTATTAATATTTTTTAAATCAACGTGTTTGAAATTCGATGTCTGATCTGACGTCTAAACTTCTAAACGCAACAGGTAGGCAGATAAGTCATATTCGATTTTTAATTGCCGCAATTTGAACTTGATCTACATAGTTTCCATTCTATTCATCAAAATAGATTTGGGAGTGGATGTTCTTTTTATATATGACACATTATTGGCCTATATTCCCGTCGTTATTTGCCGGTGAAATTGTAGTCAATTCGAATGAAAAACTCCATGTCATTTCATTCCATCAAATCATTGACCTAGAATTGTTGACATGAACTTGGTTGTTCTATTATATATAATGATGCTTATAACTCATGCCTTGTTAATGTGTTGTTATATAAATTAGAACGATCTATCGGATTACAGATATTAAGTTAATACTTACAATGTCACATTGTGTATAATTTGATAACCTTGAACGGATTCCTTCAAGATTATAAGACATATAAGGTTGAAAAATATTTTAATTAAAAAGCTTAAATCTATCCATGATTCACGATAAACCAGTATTGCCATTCCCTAGAGTTTAGCTTTTTTTTTAAATAAATGACAAATATGGAGTATATGCAGAACAGTAACAAGAAGACAATCGGAAATACCTACCACCATTTTGATTTTGGCGTTTAAAACGGATATTAAAATCATAAATGAAATATCAAGAATATATGTAGAACAGTAACAAGAAGACAACCGGAAATACCTACCGCCATTTTTTTCTTAGCGTTTAAAACGGATATTAGAATTATAATTGAAATAATAAGGATTGTATGGAGGACAGTTATAAATAGACAACTGGAAATACTTGCCGCGATTTGATCTAACCGTTTAAGACGGATATTTAAGTTGACTTAAAAAAAAATTATATGTAGAATTATTCCCTTTAACATGAATTATGTCAACAAAGTGAGAACTATACATATATATCTAAAGATATATGGGTTCAAAACGGATTTAAATCAGGTTTCACACGTCGTTATAGAGCTTTCTTTAAGTATAACACTTAATAAAATATAGTTTACAAGGTGTTGTCTAAATGCGTTCAATTGCCACAATTTTCCAAATTCAGCCCTCTTAAAAGGACAGTATAAAAATTTTCATTATTAGGAAGTAAGAAAAAATCATACGTGAAAATATTTCTAAAATATGCTATTTACTACTGTGAATTTGTTGAAATAGGTTTACACGGACCATACTTATTGCTACTAAGCAGTTACTTAGTTCAGGTGCTTGACCTGATAAGACTCGATATTATTAGCTAAAAGCTCAAGCATAAACAGGAGAAATATTTCTCTACAATTTTCTGTTTAATTTGCTTAAATCCGTACTTAAGTTTTCAAACACCAACCAATAAACATATATAACAGGTAAACCTAGTATAATAGATAGTTTGGCATTCTAAAAATGAACTTACCTTTTTATAGCATGTATGTCACTACTTTTGACATCAAATAGGTCAACATCATAAACCTGTACATTAAGACTAGTATCTATGCTATTATCTAATTGCCATTGCCATGTTTGATGAGCTGATGGACGCCACCAAGCTAATGCAACTGGCAGAATAAAGAGGAAAACACTTAAAAACTTCGTCATTTTACTTCTTGAAATGTTCATTATACAGAACCATCTGTCCTTTCCCACTCTTATCACGTAAATAGTATACGATTTATTTGTTTACTTGAGTGACAAATGCGGAACTGAATTTGTAATATTTGTCAACCTTTATACAGATGTTCATCTTGGTTGCGTTCAGGATATGAAATTAAGTTTATTGAAATTGACACGGTTATAAATAGGATATTGTCTTTAAATTATTGTTTTTTCCCTTGTCGACAAAGAGTGTCTTTGCAGCTGTGAATTGCAGTTTATATAACGGAAATCCAATGTCCGGCTCCTCTATAAATCAAGCAAAATCTACCCAGGAAGTTATGATTGTCGCCACCATTTCCATGCCATTATCAACATTCTTGCGTGCAGTTATTAAATTTATGTATGCTGTTTCAATTCCTTTATCAACCAACTTTCATTTGCTTTCGCAAGGGAAAAATAAGATCAAAATAAATGCCATCAAAATAAATGCCATCAATATACTTTAACATGAAGTAATGTTTTTGTCATAAACCAATCAAAGCTTTTATCTCCATCGCAATCAAAAGCAAGTTCATTCATATAATTTCTTTGAAAAGGGACATAAAGTTCATCGAAAAAATCGTCATAATCGAATTCATCAGATCTCACTAAAGTACACAAAGTTTACGCATTCACAAACCACTTTTGACATGCTAAATTAAGGGCATTAACTCAAAACCAATAACAAAAAAGCATTGTTTTGTTCTTCAAAATTAAATCACTTCTTTCAAAAAATCACAAATCCATAATTTTAACATTGACTGTCTGCACACAATTTGGATACTTCTGGTGGTAAGCATTCAATATCTTATACATGATCATATAATGGACCCTAAGATTCCAGAATTTAGCCTGAGATATCATCTACCATCCAACCAACCGGTACCGAAATGTTAAATTATTTTGTGTTGGCATCACGGCAGATGAGTAAAGACAATTTATTCAAATGGCTAACGTGACAACGTTTCATTTTGATATAAACATTTTTTTAAATAAAAGTATCAATATCAAAGAAAAAATTGTCGGTGTAAATTAATGACGTAACGAAATTCAGGATTCTCGTGAAAAAACTGCTAAAACCATTAAGCTTACGGATCTATCGCATGTTGTGCGAAGTTGTTTTTTTTTTCAATATGACGTTTCAATGCCATTTCATTCTCTGTAAAACAGCCATGCTAAAAGGAATATTGGAATAGGTTTTCACAAGGAGGTAATGTAACTGTTAAGATTTTTTTGTTGTTATTTAATTCCTTTTCTAAGGGGGTCATTTCTTTTCCATCGACTGGAATAGTTTTTCATAAGGAGGCAAAGTAAGTGCCGTTGCATTGTTTTCCGCCCTTTGGAATTGTTTTCATGAGGAGGCAATGTAACTGCTATGTATTGTTTTGATGTTTCCATCGACTGGAATGGTTTTTCATAAGGAAGCTAAGTAAGTGCCGTTGCATTGTTTTGATGTTTAATTCCTTTCTTCCACTTATTGGAATTGTTTTTCACAAGAAGGTAATGTAACTGTTATGCATTGTTTTTGTTTTTCCATCTATTGGAATTGTTTTCATAAGGAGGTAATATTACTGCCATGTATTTTTTGTTGTTTAATTCTTTTTCCACCTATTGGAATTGTAACTGTAAATGCATTGTTTTGTTGTATAAAACAAAGATTGATTTGCCAGTGCTCAGAATTATGTTACGTCGAATTAATCGCAATTATATTGGTTATTGAACACATACCTTTTTCTAGTATTTTCAAGGCATCGACTGAAAAGTTGCAACCGCGTAAACGTACGCAATAATTAAATATTTAATTTTGTTACCTCTTGTATGCACTCCTCTACCGACGATGTAACCCTTGGACCGTTATAGTTGAAAAACATAGCTCTCATTCAGTACCACAGTGGAATTACAATATAATAAAAAAAATCTTTTAAGATATACTGAATATGGAACAATGTTCAAAATAGGTATCAATACTTACAAAAAATTGTGGGCACAACGTGAGAAATTTGATTCTTTACACTAATGGAAACTCTTTGTTTTTGACCTAAAACACATAAAAATATATACTGCATTACTTTCGTCTGACTTTTGCGTTATTTCATCTTCTGCAAATTTAATAACTATAACAGTTGTAGATTAAACCAGTAACCAACTGTGTTTAAAATAAATTAAATTAGTTAACTATTTGATCGGAACTATTTACCTATTCTGGATAGAGTATAATCAACCCATGTAAGGAATAATCCCATATTTTCATAGACATTTCTACTTTCAGCCCTAATAAAAACTAGGGTAAATATTATTTTGAATCCATGAAGAAATTTCTGTCTGCATTTGTAATCAATATAACATAAGTTGACATTCCAAAGTGACATTTAACCGACATCAATTACCTAGATGGATGATAGATCAATGCGAGAGTATTTCTATTTTCCCCGGCAGGCATTACTTCAGACTTTTCACCTCATCATTGGAAGTATACTAAAATTGTTAATTGCACTTACGAATATAAAATTGCCGGATATTAAAGCTGTGAAGCTAGGATTGTTTCTTTATTAGACATTTTATGTTGCATCAAGACTTGAATTGGGTTTTCTTTTTAGATAGAATTTAATTCAAGAATACTTAGTTGCGACATAATTCTTAAAATATCTGGTTTACCGGTGCATTCATACTCTTGTCATGGTCTGAAAAGGGTTCAGCAAATGTTAATCAAAGACATTTTCATTATTTCGCGTTTGGTTGGCCATAGGCCTACTCGTAACAAATTTTTCAATGAAGCCAATTTTCGTTGGAATCAGGCAGAAAGTTAGAGAAATATCATGCATTGTGTGAAGTTTTTCTTTCTTTTTTTTTTTCGTTACAAAAAATATTTGGTCTCTTGTTATAGATGTGGAATATGCATTTTACTTGATTTATAGCTGCAATTTTACAATGGAAGAAATCAAATTAAAGCAATAAAGCTATTTTATTATTTATTTATTGATGCCAACAGTTGAGATATTTAAGTTGGTTGTTTAACAATCAATGAAAGCAATTTGGACTAGAAATGATCATGGATTTCAGATTTATTGTATTGATGTAGTTTTTTCTTGATCAAACTAAAAAGATTCTGAAAACATGACAAAATGATTCTTTCTGATGTATCTTCAAAACATCCGTTGTGGACTAGTGAGTTACACACTTGCACACTAACCTGAATGCCAAAGGTTCAGTTCTGGCATAGGTCGAGATATACCTTTGCATGTTTTCAACATGACTTCCCTCTATCAGTGATGCAGGTCGGATAGGCTGACATGGAAAAGGTGTCTAGGCGTTCGGATTGGGTAGTTAACCGAGACCCGATGTGCTAGACTGCGCATTAAAGATCCACGGACGGTGGGATATCGGAAATGATTAAGAAAATGCCGCTGTCATGACAATATTTCCCTCATTAGAACGTATTAAATTCCATTCATTACGTATCAAATTCCGTTCATTTCATTATTTATTTCGAAATATCAAAATAATAATCAACACTACGGGCTGTGCAAGTTCTCTGGTAAACGGCTACATGTCATCCTCAGGAAATCACTAACAGCTGGTAGTCATCCTTCTACATTTATTTCACATTTACTCACAATATAATCGCCAAAATCAATTTTGTATTTCATCTTTACAAGACTATTGACTATACATTACTGATCATATATTGAACGCATATTAGTTCATCCTTCATATCACTTAAGTGTTTATAAAAGGTAATTTTCTTAACGTGATGAAATCACATTCAATGGGTCTCATTAATACGATTAATTGGTTATAAAGGTCATTCCTGTTATGTCTATCATCATAGTAGGCTGCTGTAGACACAATTTAAAAGTCTTTTCTTTTAAACCAAGATTATGGATGATGGAAATTAAAGTATGTAGTCGTGTAATGATTTGATTTGATTTGATTTGCCGGTTCTTGAAGCTGTATTCCAGATTTTTTTAGGGAGGAGGGGGAATACAAATCCTACAAAAATACTCAGTGTGGAAGTTTAGGCTATCTTCATTCCCAAGGCGTTTTCAAGATTCTTTTACCTATATCATAATTGAGCTAAATTTTTATTGAATTGTAAGATATTCTGGTATCGGATATTTATACTGAAAAACGCTAGATATAGTAGCTCTAATAGAGCTCTAATGGTCCGCCAAGCAAATAATTAGGCGACTATTTCTTTTAAAAGACAGTTACATCACTGGAACAAAGTGATTTATAATGAATTCCCTTTTATGGAAATATGCTTTAGAGATTACTGCTTCAAAGAGATCTTCTGAGCTATAAACAATTAACGCTTTATTAAAATATACAGTTATTCTTTTTTAAAGAGTTACCTCTCGTCTAAGAATAGTATCTCCATAAAATATTGGTTAATGCATTGGATTCTCATTATGTTACTATAAATAATGTTACCCACACACAGTCGCGCATGGAGATTTTTTAATAACATAAAATAACATATATGTCTGGGAAACAATGTGTCACGGGTTTTCCAATTTAAGTTGCCGCCTTCGTTTCTTCTTTATATTTTATTTTTCTACGCCAATTCTGTCTCCCTTTGTACACGGATTTATCAATTTCTGTTATTTTATTTTCCATTAACGTCAAAAGAGGAAGTATTCATCTTTTTAAGAGATAAAACAACTTAAAAGTAGCTTTTGAAAAAATCGATAGTACTCTCAAATTTTTTCGCATTAAATCTTTGCATACTCCCACTTCCGCATATCGGAGGTGGGCCATTTTTTTTTAGACACAATTCATTTAGCCCCTTTCCCCCCTTGAGGCAAATTCTAGATACATCCCTGCCCACTTTAAGTGACTAGGTCGGCATTGCGACGAAGACAAAAAAAGAAAAAATCAAACTTGAGGACTTCAGGAAACATTTTATTCACTTTTTTTTAGACTCATTACAAAATACCAAAAGGCAAAAAGTAGCACAGTACACAATAAGTGAACCATGCATTGTACACTTTCCATGTGTCCTTTTGTAGGCTGCATTGGCAGAGTGTATTCTTTGCAGACGCTCTACAACGTGATGATGTGTTCAAAATAGTGTTTGATTAATACATCTTACCCATTTTTTTTAGTTTCTGTGGCACAGTCGTTTGGGAAATTCCATGACCCCATTTGCTGGATTCCGCTAAGCGAATGGAGGTCGTGGATTTGAATCTCGGTCGGCGAGTGATAGTCAGGTGACCTTGAATAAGTCATTTTCACTGGATATGCCAGTCGACGGTAAATGGATACCGATTTAAACTTTGTAAAAAATTCTTTCTTTGATATATACGTTCGTTGAAAATAACTTTGATTACACTAAGTCTTCCCGACACTTGGTTGTTGACGTGCTGTAAGCATTGTTGGTGGCGAACAGTTTCCGAAGCTCCAACCGGAACACCTTTCCAGAGAGAATATAGATGAAGAAATTACATGCGTAGTTCAAGTCAGAGATTAACTCGAATAAGTCATTGAAGGGTGTAATTTTCAAAAATAGATCTACTGGTGGAAAGGGGGATTTTAACACTATAGCTACATGGAGTATAACTGATATAATTAAAGAAGGCAGAAGGGTGATGACGTAAAATGAAGAAATAGCGATTAACATCAAGGTTGTTTTGTGTCTTTTGGAAGCAGACCTCGATTGTCTGGAAAATTTTCGGTCTTCTTTCGAACGCAGCTTTTTAACTCGATATATACGTCTTAACACGAGTGCATTGAAAATCATAATTAAACCAATAGGCAATCCACAAATTAAACTGAACTGGTATAAATATATGTGAATTGACGTGTACATGTTAAGATAGTCGTCAAGTGGACCACATTTTCCCTTCACATTTCCAACCATCACGAACCGAAAAGCTTGCGAAAACGTAAGAAGCATTGTTAATGTGCAGATCACTATGGCAGCTCCTGTTTGTGTACAAAAATATGCTTTCTTAAGGGGAAAATAAACTGCTACGAATCGCTCCATTGCCATCGCCACAATTAACCAAGACGACATAAGGTAACACAGGTGAACATAAAAATTATACATTGAGCAGGCCACGTCTCCGAAATTGGAAAACAAACTTTGTTCGTTGGCATAAATCTTCATTCCATCAATCAGTTTGACCTCTCGATTTATCAACGTTAAAGAATCAAAAAATGCTAATGCACATAAATAATGACTGTATGATTTATGTCGCCAAGATTTAGTCTTCATCACAATGAAAGATAAGCAGTTTCCAGTTAGACCTATCACTACCACAATTGGCGTTAGAATCTGTTTGATCCACCATCCCCATTTTTCCACGGTCAACGGTTCCATTCCAGCTGCGTCTGAAAAGATATAAAGAAAATTAATAAAAAAAATTGATGTATTTATATTTGTCAAAGCACTTAAGACGGTAAAAAAAAAAGCCTCAGAAAAATATTTGGCGTGGATGAAAATATTACCTTAGACACATATCGCTTTGAAATCAGGATTATAATAAACTCGCAAAACTACTTTTTTATCAACTCGAAAAATAAATCTGGCTTGAAACTATCTTCTAATTCAGATAAAAAAAATATTTGACAAAATTCTATTTGCTTACAGAAAAGTGACGACATTTGTAATATCCTCTATGTGGACGTATATTGTCAGTACCCCTGTCCGTCCGTCGGTCCGTCCGTCCGTCAACATTTGCTTGTAAACGCTCTTAAAACTAGAATTTTTGATCGAATCAAATGAAATTCGGTATGTGTATACATATTCATTAAATGAAGATCAAGAATTTGAGCTATTTTCGACCGTTAGAAGCAGAGTTATTGCCCTTGCCCCAAAATCTTGAATATGCTATTACTCTCTTAGTTTTCGACCGATTTTGATGAATCTTAAAATGGATGTTTCGTTTTTACCATCCGCATGCCGTAGTGGGCGTATATGGCTATGGTCTACTACCTTTTTTTTATTTAAAAGCATTTTATCTACAAAGACATCCCATGCCGGACATGATGCGGACACCGTTCTTATATTTTCCGATCTATCGATAATCCCGTATCATTTTGTCCAATATAATAACCACAGCATATTTTTACAACCACGCAAGGTTTTATTTAATTACTTGACATAAAGCTGACATAAGTTCTGATCTTCCACAGAAGGAAATGGAAGTGACTGATATTAACAACTCCCTTCTTAATAAAATGTAATTTTTGTCTGCAGGCAGTACTGTCTGATCATTATTTAATTATCTTTTGAGGTATTGTCATTATTAATACGGTTTAGAATAGTTTTACTTCTATACACATACATACATACACATTTCAAGATATGGAATTATTAAAACAGAACCTGAAACACTTGCTACTCAGACAAGAAGATTGCATAGGGTGAAACATTGAGTAGCAACATGTGCAGGTTCTGTTATATTTCCATATAGCTCTGCAATTGAAAAATGTCACGTATATATTTAATTTTCTAAGAGTAAGTAACTTGGTAAAGGAAAAATTCTTATATCTAGTCCCAAAATTGTCATATTTTGAATACTGGTGATATTAAAAGTTTGAATGCAGAAGTATCTAAAATTCTAAATTATTTCATCTTTTGGCAAAAAGTTATGTATAAAGTTACTAATTGTTGATACCATCAAACCATCAAACACTAAGTACTAACGATCAGAACCGCTAAATGAAACTCGAAATCCAAAACATATTGGTAATACATTGGTTGTAGCTAATTAACTTTTGTAATGAGGCTATATCTATCTATGAGTAAGTATTTTATGAAAAGTGGTATTAGGTTTCTAGAAGACACTCTGTCTGGTGATACACCAGTAAAATGGTACTTAAATTTAACCACACGGTCCATTCACCTGGATGTAAAACATTGCATTAATAACCATTCCTCGACACTTGAAAAAGAATAATACTTCGAAAACCGGTTCGTGTCAATTGCGTAAGTTTTTGTTTTACTTGTTATAATTTTTCACATCATTGTTCTTCCAAGTCCATCATTTGGCTATCCTTACCCTTCAACAGCAAGGTCAACCAGCATTTACCTTCACACGCAAAGTCTCTTGGTAGGATGTTTTATCCGTCCAGCAATGAAAACATCAGCTGTCGACGCGATCGGACTTGACTCTCTAAGGTTACGCAGGTCCTGATCGACCATAACCAAATCACACTACAAGAGAAGCTGACCACCATTCGTACCAAGTCTTTATGATCACCTGCCGTCGACCGCATCGTTTCTCATGCCCTGTCCTGGGCCCATCGCTCCTATGGGAAACGTCTCACTCAAGCTGTAATCACCATATTCTACCAGACAATCAACGAAACCAAACAGAGTAACCATATCTCTACCAACTGAAATGGACACTACACCTGCACCATCTAGAGTCACCATGCTACCGAACCAAATCCCTAAACGAGCCACAGTTCCCTACTCCTAGTCCCGCAGACATAGGTAAACGCTCTCGTAAAGAGGGCACCCCCCTTCTCTTTTCACTTTCAGACTCGTCTTCCCCTTCCACGCCATCTGAATCTTCACCGCGTGATCCAGGATCCGCCAACCTTTCTTCCTTATGTGCGTTTTTGGACCAGCAAACCACCCTCAGTCTCCATCCAAGTCGAGAAGTATATCCAGACCTTCCCCCCTCGAACCAAATCCCAATCCGTGCCCAATGCTACAATTCCAACAACTACCAAACCAGTACCAATCACCCCGTCGACACCCATTATATCCGCTACTAAACCCTATTATCACCAAACCAAGGACAAATCATTATAGAATCTACCTGCTCTGAAGAAATCTAACTTAATTATTGGATCATCTAAACTGAATCGAATTACCAAAACCAGTTCAGACACTGAAATACATTCTTACCCCGATGCCCAAATCCATCACATACAGTCAATCCTGGAATCATACAACCATGATCCCAAACCTACTTCCATTATTCTTCATGTAGGCCTCAACAACCGTGATCAGCTACCAAAGACCTCCTTTAACCAAGCCCAGAAATCAATCGATACAGCCAACAAACCCTTCCAAAACTCTAAGATCCTCTTCACATGTATACCCATCTCAAATGAAATCTCGAAAAAAGCACAACAGAACCCCAGCACCCTCAACAACATGATGATGGGAGTCCAATATCAACAGAGCAACAATCTTACCACCCTACGAAGAAGAATTCGAACCAGTTGATAATCTTTATTGGTCTCCAGAAAAGCAAACAGCATTTATTTGTTTTGGATACACCAGCTTCAAGCATCGAGTAAGTCTTTAAACTAATTACTGGGGATAAAAATACTGAGAGGCCACCGCTAGGCCAAACTGTAGTTAACTTGAGCCGCAAAATTCTCACACCCCTTCAGCATTCAATCTTAGACCGTGGATTGAAGTTTATTCCAAAGATAGCCAACTTAAATTATCTCCGACCATCCATTGAACGATTTCAACGAAATCTTAGCTGCACATATTTTTTTCGAAACCACTCCCACATGGTGGTGCTAAAACAATGTTTATTCCTAAATCCACGTGGACACCCCCTCAGGCCGCCATCCATCCTGAAATATTGAAAGTATTTGCGAGTATGAATAGTCAAACAGCGAACCTTTCCATAACACACGAAAAGCCTAATCTCACACGCACGCAAACCTTTTCATGGCAGAGTGGGAACGTGGGGTGTTGCCCCTCTGTCCATTTGACACACTTTTTTACGGACGCTTTTTGGATGACATTTTTATGGTTTGGACTTATTCTATCGAACAGTTTTGGGAATTCTTTGAAATTCTCAACAACCACCATCCTTGTATCAAACTAACCGCAAACGTGAGTGAACACAAATTGTGATGTGACTTTACTAATTCCCATTATTTGAATGTTATAATTCAAATATTGTATATTTTACATGTTGAAATGCAATTATCAACTGAACCATTTTGAAAATATACAGTAAGGATTGGTAAGAATGTGATTTGAAAGCATAGACTTTCTCGATAACACAGTCTTTAAGGGAGATTCCATAGTAGAAACAAACTGGGTATTAAAGTGTATTTCAAAGAAACTGATACTCATCAACTCTTGCACAAGAGCTCCTTTCACCAAAAAATACCTTTTCTGGTATATTTAAGTCACAAGTTTTAACATTTCATCGAATTTGCACAAGGTCTTCTGATTTCAATCAAGCATCTACGATTTTTTTCTCAAAAATGAAAGAGCGAGGGTACTCTAAACGATTTTTACGAAACATAAAACATTCCACTTTTGCACAGATAGCAGCTAAAAACAGGCTTTATGCCGAAGTACCTCCAGGTTTAAGAAGTGCTCGATGTTTGTCCAGTAGATGCAAAACATGTCCCTTTATATCAGAAACTCATTATTTTGTAAGCAACTTTACGAAAGAATAATTTACGAACTAGTTTTAATGCTGATAGGTCAGACATCAAATTAAAGAAAGACAAGCCTGTTTCTAATCATTTCAACCTCGACGACCATTCAATAGACGATCTCACCCTGATCCCAATTGAGCGTATAGAAATTGACTTGCCCGAAGATGAAACTAGCAAATTCCGTCAATCTAGGGAAGCCCATTGGATAGAAACATTGAATACAACAAGACAATAGGACTAAATATTCATCATAATGTAGGCACAGCACCCTTTGTTGTCCGGTAAATACAAATCGAGCAAGCAAGATAGTTCATGCCCACTATAAGAGCCTTCAGGAGAAATTCCCCCCATGTCTATAAGCAGAAAATGATAGTTGCATATTCAAAAAATAAGAACTTAAATGATAATAATAATCATTACATAACAGATACTATACTTCTATATTATTCTTATTTTTTCTAATTTCAGATCAGAATCAGAACAGAAGAAAACCCAAAATCAAGACCCTTAATCCTAATTTCTAAAGTGTCTGCTCCACCCTAGACCTGTACATTTGGGAGAATCAAACCCTCCCTTCCCCGAAACCTAATTTCTAAATAAAGTGTCTGCTCCACCCTAGGCATGTACATTTGGGAGAATCAAACCCTCCCTTCCCCGAAAGCTAATATGGTGGATCACAGATTTTTGTTCGACGATTGGCGAATTCGGAATAAAGAACGAAATGAAAAGTGGAGAATTTAGAGTGAGCGATATGGGTTGAATTTGGAGTGAAGAGCGAAACGGGAAAATGAAGAACAAGGAGTGAAGAGAAAAACGGGGATGAGATGAAATAAGGGTGACGAGCGAAACGGGAAATGAGTGAATTATGAGTGGAGAGTGAAATGGAGGAGCATAACGCAAAAGGGACGAAATTTATTGTACTAGACACTTTTTTCCATTTAAACCTCT